CCCTAAGTAAAGGAATGGGATAGAACGCCACACAGAAAGATCACTGCAAAATTATATGGCAAAACACGTAGAAAGAGGGGAAAGGAATGAGGGTGATTAATGCAATAAAGCCACCACAATATATGTTGTTGTTATGTGTCATTGAGCCGTACCCAACTCATAGCGACCCCTCCTTGGGTTTCTGAGGCAGCATCACTACGGAAGTAGATTGCCCCATCTTCCTTTTGAGGAGTGGCTGGGGGGTTTGAACCACCAGTCTTCTGGTTAGCATTCAAGTGCCTTAGCCACTATGCTACCAGAGCTCCCACCACAATGTATGTTGTTGTTGTTGTTATGTGCCGTTGAGTCGGCCCCGACTCATAGCAACCCCTCCTTGGGTTTCCGAGGCAGTATCACTAAGGAAGTAGGATTGCCCAACCTTCCTTCTGAGGAGTGGCTGGTGGGTTTGAACCGCCAGCCGTCTGGTTAGCAGGCAAGTGTCTTAGCCACTATGCTACCAGAGCTCCCACCACAATATATATTCACCCTAAATATGAAGTATATAGAAATCTAAAACAAGGATTAAATGGAAAGGAATTTTAAAATAGTTACCACGTCTCTGGCCCCAGTTAGAAGAGTTTCTCAACTCTTTCTCCTTCTAAATTCTGAATAAATAAATGAAAAACAATTCTATTAAAATAAGTCAGAAAGTGTATCTATTCATTCCAAAAGAGAAATTTTATCCTTTAGAAATATTGGGTTGCTATGAGTTGCAATTTGACTCATTAGCAGTGAGTTTTTTGTTTTTGTTTTTTAAAAAAGAAATAGATGTTATTAAGTGCCATCAAGTGGGTTCTGACTCACAGGTGTCCTGTGTACAATGTAATGAAACACTACCCAGTCCCCTGCCACCCTCACAATCCTTGCTGTGCTTGAGCCCGTTGTTGCAGCCACTGTGTCAATCCATCTCATTGAAAGTCTTCCTCTTTTTTGCTGACCCTCGACTTTACCAAGCTTGATATCTTTCTACAGGAACCGGTTCTTTCTGATGGCATGACCAAATTATGTGAGATGAAGTCTGGCCATTCTCACTTCTAAGGAGCATTCCAGCTGTACTTCTTCCAAGACAGATTTGTTCTGTTCATTCTTCTGTCAGTCCATGGTATATTCAGCATTATTCCCCAATACCACAATACAAATGCCTTTATTTAGTTCTTTATTCAGTTCTTCTCCACTCTTCTTATTCATTGTCCAGCTTTCACATGCATATGAAGATATTGAAAATAGCATGTAGAAGCAACTATAAAATTTGTATTACATTTTCAATAGAATACGTACAAATTTTATATTTACCTCCATAGTTCTACAATAAAGAGCTGCTCTGAATCAAAATGAATGCAAAGGACAGAAAGTCAGCAAATAAAGAAACACATTATATTACTTTGTTGGGGAAAAATCTCTTTCTGAATCAAAATGTACCGTGATTTTTTCTTTGTTTTTTTTGATACTTTTTCTTCCCCAAAATACTATTTGGAAAGATTTTACATTAAGGTATGGAGAAACTTGTCCACTAAAATTATCTATAGAATTTTGTCCATGAACAAACTGGAAATATCACTGCAATTTATAAGCAAATAATTTTGTCTCTGTAAAAAAGAATCTAATAAGGCAGTATCTCTACAAACAAAGTTAAGCATAATGATGTAAATGATTCAAAATCTTATAAAAACAATAACTGAGATGGAATAGAGAAGTTTGGTCTGACTTAACCAGATTGGCTGTCTTTATTCTGAAACATTACTGGGAAATTACCACTTTGCTTTACTACTTACATCAGAATTCCAGAGCATAAGCTTTTAAAAAGGACTAAGGAGAAATGGGAAGAAGTTGTGCTGCTCCAAGTCCAGATCTCACATCCACAATCCAATGGAAGGAGGAAAATGGCATGCTCCAATATTTAATTATATGCCCCAGAAGTGTATTACATATTTCCATTTACTTCCTGTTAATCAGGACTTAATCACAGAGCCATACCTGGTTGCAAAAGGGTCTAGGTATGTGGTTTCCAACCTGAACAGTTTATATCGCCATGAAATCTTTCCAACCAAAGGCAAGTGGGGAAAATGAATATTTGAGGAGCACTGGTAGCTTAGTGGCTAAGGCACTTGACTGCTAACCGGAAGGCTGGCAGTTCAAACCCACCAGCCACTCCTCAGAAGGAAGATGGGGCAATCTACTTCCATAGCGATGCTGCCTCGGAAACCCAAGGAGGGGTTGCTATGAGTCAGGTCTGACTCGATGGCATATAACAGCAACAACATTGTAAGTGAAGGAGGAGCTCTGGTGGCATACTGCCTAAGGCACTTGACAGAAGGTTGGTGGTTCAAACCCATGAGCCACCTCTTGGAAGGAAGGTTGGGCAATCTACTTCTGTAGTGATACCTCCTCGGAGACCCAAGGAGGGGTCGCTATGAGTCGGGTCCAACTCAGTGGCACATAACAACATTGTAAGTGAATGGTAGTCTCTTTTAAAGCAGAAATCCCCTCTGTGGGCACTTCATGCTGGAGTGTTCTTAAGCACTTCACCATTTTCTTCTCAGAAACTACTGACTAAATCCAAGTGGTGGATCAATTTCTACCCTCCTCTTCTTTCTTTCTACATTGTCTGAGATCCAGTACCAAGAGATGATGGAAACAATGTCACAAAAGGAAAGAAAAAGAAACTCAGAGTGAAAACTCCAAGTTTGCTATTGTCACCATCATTAATATGATGTGAGCAACATGGTGTTGATGATTCAGACAAGGTGGCCCTTTTATTTCAGGATGTTCACAGCCTTAGAAGAGAGTGGAAAACTTGAGAGGGAAAATGTCAGCATCTGCAAGAGTTGAGGAGGTTAAGCTCCCTAAGTTAAGAAACAATGTCTTCGAGTGAAATCATCTCCACCTTACTCTGTGACCACTTGCAGAGCCTCTTCCCCTATTTTCCCCAAAACGGCTAACAATTTTATCAGAAGAGACAGGCAACATGAAACTTGAGGTGGATCGACCTAGAAAGGGAGGTTACTTTTGGCTCATTGGAGGCTTAAAATTTCTATTTTCCAAAATTCTTTTCATCTGATCCCTAAAAGCAACCGAAGGTGAGTGTGTGTGTCTTCATCATCTAGTGCTGCTGTAACAGAAATCCCACAAGTGGATGACTTTACCAAACACATGTTTGTTTTCTAGAAATTTGGTAAGTCTGAATTCAGAATACTGGCTCTAGGGGAACAACCTCTCTGTTGCTCTGGAGGAAGGTCCTTGTCTATTCAGCTGCTTCCTGGTTCCTTAGAGACTGGTGCTTTGACATCTATCTCACTCCATCTCCTCTCTGATTATTTCATCTCTTTTATGTCTCAAAAATGATTGACTCAAGTACACCTTACACTAATCCTGCTTCATTAAACATAACAAAGACAACTCATTCCCAAATGGGATTAGAACTGCAGGCATAGAGGTTAGCATTTACAACACATATTTTAGGGGGGCATAATTCAATGCATAGCAATGTGGTTTACTTACAATTGTGTTTATCACCTTGCTTCACATCCTTGGTTTTACTCAACGTGCTATTTAGGAAATAGGTCTACAAGTGAGTACACTGAAATATGCCAATGATAGGGCTCTACCCAACAATCTAGCAGTCCTAATGCTGAAGGAGGATCTTCAGATACTAATAAGTGCTGGTTGACATTTCAATAGTAGGTGCTATTTGGTAGGTTTTTGCTTTGTTTTTTCACAAATAAGAAAGAATAAGGAGTTTGCCTTCCAACTTTATAGCAACAAGAAATGCTTACTCAAGATTTTATGTTTCTTCCTACCTTAGATTTAGTTCTCATTATAGACATAAATGGAGCCCTTGGGTCATGCAAATGGCTAAGTACTTGCCTACTAGTTGAAATGTCGACCGTTTGAACCCAAACAGAGATACCTTGGATGATAGGACTGTGATAGAAAGATCACAGCCTTAAAAACCCTATAGAGCAGTTCTGCTCTGTACACATGGGATCATCATGGGTTAGAACTGAATTGAAGATACCCAACAACAACAATAGGCATAAACCAGTATAGGTTCTCCAGAGAAACAGAACAGTGAAATCTGTGTATACCTACTCCTCCCTTATCAACTATCTCATTATCCAATATTTCACATCTACAACAACAATAAAAAAACTACTATTCAAATATTTTTCACATTAACGATGTAAATCTGGCAGTAACAAATGCCAAGGTGCAAAGTGAGAGTAGCGCTAGCTGTGATATTTAAGGTTTTGTGTCAACTTGGCAGGGCCATGATGCTCAGTGATTTGGCAGTTATGTAATAATACAATGATATAATTTGGCAGTTATATAATAATATATTTTGGCAATTATGTAATGATGTAGTGAACTGATGTAGTCTTCCTCCATTTTCCCATAATGCCAAGTTTCACATAACGACCTGGTGGTTGAAACTCAATCATGTCAATAGGTGAGGAATGAGTGTATATATAGAGAGAGATTTACTTTAAGAGATTGGTTCACATGATTGTGGGGTCTGGAAAGACTAAAATCCATAGGTCAGGTGGTAGACTAGAGACTTTTGCAAGTTTGTGTCCCAAATCATAGGTCAGGCAACAGGAAGAGTGTGAAATAGAGAGAGTGGGAGTGCTGCCCAATAGCTAGTTATATCTGAAGGCAGATCACGCCCTGAGGAAACGCTTCCTTTCAACTGATTAATTGATTACATTACATTACATTACATTATGGAATAGCATCTACTCTAGTATTTGGCCAAACCACTGGCAACCAAGTTGATACATAAAGTTAACCATCCCAGCATCCTCCAAATGTGGAATGTAAATGACTGAATCTTTGGCTATGAGACTAGGAGTCTGTGTATTTGATGTTGAGAAAAGCAACCATTCATGACCTAGTGAACGCAAGATGGCTAATGAGAATGATAACCACAAATGTTGTTTTCTGCTTTTCTCTCCAACTTCCAGCTGTGAAGTTTGGGAGAATGTCCAAGAAGCAGAGGGACAGCCTGTATGCAGAGGTGCAGAAGCACCAGCAGAGGCTGCAGGAACAGCGGCAGCAGCAGAGTGGGGAGGCAGAAGCCCTTGCCAGAGTGTACAGCAGCAGCATCAGCAACGGCCTGAGCAATCTAAACAACGAGACCAGCGGCACTTATGCCAACGGGCACGTCATTGACCTACCCAAGTCCGAGGGTTATTACAGCGTGGATTCAGGCCAGCCGTCCCCCGATCAGTCAGGACTTGACATGACTGGAATCAAACAGATAAAGCAAGAACCTATCTATGACCTCACATCCGTCCCCAACTTGTTTACCTATAGCTCTTTCAACAATGGGCAGTTAGCACCAGGGATAACAATGACTGAAATTGGTAAGTGGAACTCTCTTCCCAATTTATTATTGGAAATGCTGTTTTGAAGTTGTTTTGGTACTATTTAGCATAGTTATTTTAGTAGGTCTAAGATGAATTACTTACATTCGTAGCCAAAGGAGCTTGGTGGTGGAGGGATTAAGGCATTTGGCTGCTAACCGAAAGGTCGGTTGTTCAAACCCACCAGCTGCTCTACAGAAGAAAGATGAGGCAGTCTGCTTCCATAAAGAAGCCTTGGAAACCCAATGAGGGTCACTATCAGTCAGAATCAACTCAATGGCAGTGAGTTTTGTTCTAAGTATTTTTTAGTGGAATAACTAATATATTTTAAAATTTATTCTAATAAATGCCATTATTCCCTCACCTTATGAAAGTTTATTTCAAGCAAAAGAAGAAAGAACATATTATAAATAGAAAGATGTTATCTATAAAGACCAGATGTTATCTGTTGAATTTGGGTTCACCACTGAAGGAAAATTATTGGTATTGAAATCAGCAAGAAAGCTTTTGCAAATATCCAAAGCAATGCTATTGAAAGTGAAATAACTAACAGATATAGAAACAGTGAGCATAATTGAATAAATAGTGATCAAACTCTCCCTCTGAGAAAACTCAATCACATATCTTAGTTTCCTTCTTGGTAATAGCAGGGATAGACCGGAAGATCTTTAAGGCCCTTTGTCTACAGTAAATTATTTAATATGGCCTTTCTAGCCAAGGCCTTGTGCTTGTGGCCCACCAAGGGAATTGGATAGCTTGCTCATAATTTAAAGGTGCCTGGCACCCTTGTGGAGGCAGAACCATGCAAATCAAGCATATGGAACCCTAACGAGGGGATTGGTCCATTTTATCATCCTACTAGAGTTAAAATGATCCATCCCAGAGGCAGGAAGTGAGAATCTCATTACCTCCAAGAGTAGTAGGGAGAAGAGTGACTCTTTGGACCCAGGATTCTTGCACTGAGAACATCCTAGATCCAGAAAACAGAGAGATAGAGACGGAGAGAGAGAACTATAACACCAGAGACAAGGAGAGACAATGAAAAGCAGTAGCAGAGAAAGGGCAGCAGCAGAATGAAGAGATGGACAGAAGATGAGCAGGAGACGGTGTGGTGGCCTCCCAGGCCCATGAAGCAAGAAAGCTGAGCACCTTCTGTCAGGAGGCTTGTTGGCAGAGTGTGGTGCCTCTGATCACTTGGTGGAGCTAGGCTTGCCAACCCACGGAGCTAGAGCTGAGCACCTTCAGCACAAGGCTTACTGATAGAGTGGGGTGTCTCTGAACACTTTTCAGCAGAGCTAAAACGGCTTTGTAACATTTGCCTGAGCAAGGAAGAAGCAGTTCAAGAAGCTGTAGGGCAGAGGCCAGAGAGAGACCTGCCTATAGGTACAACTGAGAGGAGGCTATCCTGATTGGAGAACTATAGCCTAAGTCATTTCCAATCCTGTTACTTCTCTAATGAAGTCTATAATATTAAGTATGGTATATGAGTTCTGGGTGGCCATTGCAATGAATTATTGAACCCTGCAGAGAAGTAGAGAGTGCCAAGGAAGGGACAATGGTGTCAGAATTGCTAAAAAGGTCAAAGGGTGGAGACATGTCTGACCTCTGCCTCATAAGAATCAGCTTTGGGCTGATGCTATAGATGGTGATTCTCCTTCCCCCAGGTAAAGTTAAATAAAGATGTCAGATGCCTATACCACATCATTCTTCAAAAAAAAAAAAACCAAACCAAACTTACTGCCATCGAACTGATTCAAACTTATAGCAACTTCCATTGGGTTGCCAAGGCTGTAAATCTTTCTGGAAGCAGGCATACATCTTTCTTCTGTAGAGTGGCTGATGGGTTTGAACCACCAACCTTTTGGTTAACACCCAAATGCTTTAACCACTACACCACCAGAGCTTCTTATGCCATTCTTATACCTTTCTAAGTCAATTTAAGAATCCTACATGTGACTCAAGTCTAAATGAAAAGAGTGTACAGTGGAATATTACAGAACATAAGAGCAATGAGTAAGCTCTGGTGAGTGTGGTCAGTCATAGGCAAGATTGCACCAACACCTTGACCCTTTGTTGGCTTCCGTGTACTTAGCTCCCCAGGTGTGAACTGCAAGAATGCATGGACCCTTGTGACCTGTTGAAACTTTTCTTTTACCCTATTAAACTCAGAAGTGTACTAAACATTTAATTTATTAATCTCACTAACAAACTATTGTAAAAATATTGATGTAGGCTTAACACATTACACTCCTGAGTAACAGAGTTGCATGTTATTTGAGATTGAGCAAGTATCTTAATTCCAGTTCACTCACCTTTTGAAAAGGGGGAGATATTAGTATATACCTCACAAGGCTGGCATAACAACTAAGTGATTAATATTTATGAAACACAGTGATGTTGGGCACTCAGCAAGTGCTTAATAACTGCAAGCTGTTGGTAATATTTGTATGCCATGAGCTCAGTCACCTTCTCTGCCTATCCTGCAAATAGGAACTAAAAGTCTGGAAGAGTTAAAGTAAGCTGATAAGAACACAAAATGAAATGAGTATATTCATGGGCTACTTGTACCATCTGGTTGAAGAAGAAATATAACACAGTTATCATTCTAAAATGTTATTTCTCTCTTTTAACAGTTTAGCAAATGACAATGAGTAAAGAAGTTGTCTGTAACAACGTTCATAACTGAGAAACAAAGAATATTAAACATTAGCTATAATAACTAAAGCATTCATTACTATTGTTATCCTTGACTGAGTTGTTACTACATCACTTCAGACAGATTTCCTAATAAGCATTTTTAAGTTAAAATATCATGCCCATTTTACAGATGTGGAAACAGATGCTTAGATGTATCATGTAACCTTCCAGGTTACTCACTAATAAAGCTAAATTCCAACCCAGGCAATTTGATTCAAGTCCTTTTGCTCCTCCATTACCCGCTACCTGCTTTGGTTTTAATCTCCACAAATTACATTGTCAACCAGTAGGGAAGATCTTTTTAAATGGAGTCATTCAATCTTTCAGAAGATCCATGTAAAAAAGGGAAAAAAAAAAATCCTTTTATTCTACTTAGCATCTAAGTGTCTGAATCTACTATTGATTTGGAACACGTTTGAAACCTAGTTTAAAAAAAAAAAAAAAAAAAAACCCAGTTACAGCTCTTGAACAATCTTCTGCCCCATAACCAAAAGGAAGGTCTTCTAAGAGTCAGAAATCACTGTTTCTTTGTGATTTATCATCAGGAGGATGTGTTATGGAAAGAGATCTACAGCTAAACCATCAGGTCTAGGTCACCCTGGGGAAGTTCCTTTTCCTCTCTGGCCTTCAGTCTACTCATCTATGAAATGACACATTTAGACTAGATAATCTCAAATCATATAGAGTTTCTATACAGACTCTGGCACCTAAAATGAACTAGCTTGTATTTTTCTTGTTTCAAGGTACATTTAATATTTAGAGATCTTCATTTATGTTCTAAATTGTAGAAGCTTCTTCCATCAGACCTAAGGGGATGCAGTTAGATTGTCCTGCAGATACTCTCAAATTTAACAGACTCTTAAGCCAAAGAATCCACTCAACCGCAACAAAGGGGTGGGTTTTGTTGTTTGTTTTGTTTTTAAGCTTAACTGTTGGCTTGGTGCATGTTACATTAAAACAGCAACGCCATCTAGTGGACACAAACTCATTCTGAGAGCCTTCGCTTCAGATACCTCTGAAGAACCAAATTCTTCCTTTCTGCACTATTCAAAACAAAAACTACCACATGCTCCACTAAAACACTGAGGCACTAACCCTTATCACTGGGCAGGAAAGGCATAAGTGTAGTAAGAACGCTGGTTCTGTAGTCAGACCGTCTGGGTTCAAAACCTGGTTGCGCTTTTTTCTTAGACAATTTATTTAACCTCTCTAAGTCTCTGTTGTAAACCTGAGACAACAATTGCCCCTACCTGAGTATGTGTGCATATTAAATGGGCTAATGCTCATAAGTTTTCAAGATAGCTCCTGGTGTGTGTAAGTTTAACATCATTAATAAAATATAATATTATTAATCTCATTAATTATTACTCAATAAGAGCACGATTGGTTATTACAGGTAATATAATTACCTTTTATTAAGCATCAACACTGTATTGATCAATATCTGAAGCACTTAACCACAGTTATTTAATTCTCATAAAAATCCTATTATTCCTATTATGTATTTGCATCCCCACTTCACAGATATATATTGAGGCTCAGAAAGTTACATAACTTATACAAAGCAAAGTAAGCATATGCTCCTAAGTCTGGGTAACTTAAAAACCCATTCTTTTAACCATTAAACTATATTTTCTCCTATTAGACAAAGGGAAACCCTCACAAGCTAACTGGCATTCCCATAGCAAATTCCTGTTTGGTGTTGCTGCCTACCTGAGGTCCTTGTAGGTGTTACAAAATGGACCTTACTGAGTTTGCATGCTAACATTTTGACTTGATTGGTTAACCGACATCTATTGTTACCTGGTTGGTGGCAATCTGTCATAGAAGGAGCACTGCATAGACAAAATAGTAAACCTGATCTTAGTCACATTCTGACAGGGTGATTTTAAGACAACATCCCACCAAATAATTTCATAACATCACCCTTGGCTATGAGGTCTGATCTGCTTCCTCTGGTTTCTGTGAAAAAATGAAATGTGTACAACTTGGACATCATTCTAAGATCGAGCCATCTTACAAGCAGATCTCTTGTTTTATCCAGTTTTAGATTAGTTCATGTAGAATAATATCTTACACTGTGTAAATCTTTCATTTAAAAAATATGCTTAAGAACCATAACACAACTGTATAAGCAACTGCATGCAGATTCCAAAAAGTCAGTTATATAAATGCTATCAGAATCAGGAAAAGTGAGTCAAGTAACAATGGGATGACCTCCTAGACAAATCAACCTATCTTTCTAAAAGTGCATCCAAAGATCTACAAACTTTTTAGGTTAAAGACTTAAATAATAATACTTC